TAATCCTAGCTACTCATAAGACTGAGATCTGAGGATCTCTTTTCAAACCCAGCCTGGGCAGCAAAATCTGTGAGACTCTTATCTCCAATAAACCACTCAGAAAACCTGAAATGGTGCAGTGTGGCTCAAGTGGTAGAGCGCTAGCCTTGAGCTGAAGAGCTGAAGCACAGAGTCTAGGCCCAGAGTACAAGCCCTATGACGTACAAAAAAGTTCTAAATTGTTATTATAAAGTGATATACAGAGGTGTTACAGTTACATGAATCAGATAAAGAGTAATTTCTTTTTGGACATTCTCACCCTGTTTAATTCTTTTTTTTTTTAAACACTCTTCCTGCCGAGTACCAGTGGCTCACATCTCTAATTCTAGCTACTCAGGAGGCTGAGACCTGAGGATTGTAGTTTGAAGCCAGCCTGGGCAGGAGACTCTTATCTCTGGGCAGGAGACTCTTATCTCCAGTTAACCCCCAGAAAACCAGAGGTGGTACTGTAGCTCAAAATGGTAGAGTGCTAGTCTTGAGTGAAAGAGCTCAGGGACAGCACCCAGGCCCTGAGTACAAGCCCCAGACAACCAACAAAAAACAAATGAACAACAACAAAAACAAACAAACAAACAAAAAACCCTCTTCCTGTTCGTTTCACGTGGGAAGGGAAGAAGATTTGGATCGCACGACACTGTCTGGATGAGGTCTTGCCCTGAAGACCAGTTGTCCCAGGAAATGGAAAAGGTTTAATCTTTGTTCTCAAAGGGCCAGAATTCACACTGGAATGGTTCTGCTGCTAACTTTGGTGACATAATTGTGACTAAGCCAGAACACAATGAGTCATCCATGGTAGGCAAGGTGCCCTTTTCCCCTTTCCCCTTCTGAGCTGGCCCGGGGTAAGGTGAGATAGATCAAGAGACCTGTGTTATTCATTAGACAGGGCTTTTTTTGTTTTGGGAGGTGGAGATTGAAACTCAGGCCCTAGCATTTGCAAAGCAAGCACTCTACTGTTTAAACTGTGCCCAGCCAAGTTTTTTCACATGTAGATTTCTGCCACCTCCTTAGCCCTCAATTTCCATTCCAGAAATTTGAGAGTAAGGCAAACCTACCAGCATTCTTTTAGGGATTCAAGTCCCAGTTCCTCAGCATCTGCGTATCACCAGAAAAGTTGTGTGCTTCTGTTTACTTATCTGTAAAATACAGGTAGCTATATGATGCTAGCCCCTGAGATTGGAGAGAAGGGGCACTGGTAACTCTTGCCTTTAATTCTAGTTATCAGCAAAAATCCAGGAGTGGAATTGTTGTTCAAGTGTAGAGCACCAGCCTTTTTTGTTTGTTTGTTTTGTTTTGCCAGCTCTAGGGCTTGAACTCAGAGCCTGGGCACTGTCTCTGAGCTTCTTTTGCTGAAGGCTAGCATTCTACCCCTTGAGCCACAATGCCACTTCTGGCTTTTTCTGTTTATGTGGAACTGAGGAAGCAAACCCAGAGCTTCATGCATATTAGGCAAGCATTCTACCACTAAGCCACATTCTCATCCAACCACCAGCCTTGAGTGAAAACATAAGGGAGGGTGCGCAGGCTCTGAGTTCAAGCCCCAGTACCTGCATCAAAAAACAAAACAAAAAACTGGGTGTTCATGGCTCATGTCTGTAATCCTAGCTACTCAGGAGGCTGAGATTTGAGGATCACAGTTCAAAGCCAGCCTTGGAGGCAGGCAGGAAACTCTGTAAGATTTTTATCTTTTTTTTTTTTTTTTGTCAGTTGTGGGGTTTGAACTCTGGGCCTGGGCGCTGTCCTTCAGCTCTTCAGCTCAAGGCGAGCTACAGCGCCACTTCTGGTTTTCTGGTGGTTTATTGGAGATAGGAGTCTCACGGTCTCTCCTGCCAGGGTTGGCTTTGAACCGTGATCCTCAGATCTCAGCCTCCTGAGTAGCTAGGATTACAGGCATGAGCCACCAGTGCCTGGCAAGATTTTTATCTTTAATTAACCACTAGAAAACAGGAACCAGAAATGGTGCTGTGGCTCAAAGTGGCAGAGCACTAATCTTGAGCAGAAGAGCTTACAGACAAGTATGTAGGTCCTGAGTTCAAGCCCTATGACCAAAAAAAGATTACTTAAAAAACAACACAGGAGGGCTGGGAAGTTGGCTCAGTGGTAGAGTGCTTGCCTTGCATGCCTGAGGCCCTGGGTTCGATTCCTCAGCACCACATAAGCAAAAAGAAAAAAAGTCGGAAGTGGCGCTGTGGCTCAAGTGGTAGAGTGCTAGCCTTGAGCTGAAGAGCTGAGGGACAACGCCCAGGCCCAGAGTTTAGACCCCATGACCGGACCAAAAAAAAAGAAAGAAAAAGAAAAAAGCCGGAAGTGGTGCTGTGGCTCAAGTGGTAGAGCACTAGCTTTGAGCTGAAGAGCTGAGGGACAGCGCCCAGGCCCAGAGTTCAGGCCCCACGACCTGACCCCCCAAAAAACAAAAAAACCCCACAGGATTCATATAGGAGTAGTTAGGGTGAGACTACAGTTTGGTTCTGTGTTGTGGGAGTTGGGTTTTTTTTTTTTGGTCAGTCAAGGGGCTTGAACTCTGAGCCTGGGCACTGTCCCTCAGCTCTTCAGCTCAAAGCTAGCGCTCTACCAATTGATCCACAGCACCACTTCCAGTTGTCTGAGTGGTTTATTAGAGATAAAAGTCCCACAGTAGGCTGGGAAGGTGGTTCAGTGGTAGAGCGCTTGCCTTGCATAAACGAGGCCCTGGGTTCGATTCCTCAGCACCACATAAGTAAAAAAGAAAAAAGCCAGAAGTGGCGCTGTGGCTCAAGTGGTAGAGGGCTAGGTCAGGCCCAGAGTTCAGGCCCCATGACTGGACTTCCCCCCCCAAAAAAAAAAATCCCACAGATTTTTCCTGCCTAGCTGGTTTTTGAGCCCCAATCCTCAGATCTCAGCTTCCTGAGTAGCTAGGATTACAGGCATGAGCCACTGGTACCCGGCTTGCTATGGGAGTTTTAACTCCTGAAGGCTGTGAAAAGTTGTTTTTTTTTTGGCTGGTCATGGGGCCTGAACTCTGGGCTTGGGCCTGGGCGCTGTCCCTCAGCTCTTCAACTCAAGGTGAGCACCCTACCACTTGAACCACAGTGCAACTTCTGCTTTTTCTGCTTATGTGGTGCTGAGGAATTGAACCCAGAGCCTCATGCATACAAGGCAAGCACTGTACCACTGAGCTACCTTCCCAGCCCCTGTGAAAAGTTTTATGCAGATTTATATTTTAGAAAACACACTAACAGCCAGGTGCCAGTGGCTCAAGTGGTAGAATGCTTGCCTTGAGCTGAAGAGCTGAGGAACAGTACCCAGACCCAGAGTTCAAGCCCCACAACTGAAAAAACAAAACAAAAAACTAACAGCTTTATGCAATGCAATTAGGGACCATAAGACTAAGTAACGGGCTGGGAGGGTGGCTCAGTGGTAGAGTGTTTGCCTTGCATGCCTGAGGCCCTTGGTTCAATTCCTTAGCACCACATAAGCAGAAGAAGTGGGAAGTGGCGCTGTGGCTCAAGTGGTAGAACACTAGCCTTGAGCTGAAGAGCTGAGGGACAGCGCCCAGGCCCAGAGTTCAGGCCCCACTACCAAAAAGAAAAAAAAAAAAAAAAGAGACTAAATAACCACAGTTAAGCATGCTATCAACAGGAATATAGTCAAGAAACCATCATGGTCATGTGTGGTAGTAAACACCTGTAATCCTAATACTTAAGAGATGGAGGCAGGGAGCAAACTGTAGGCCAGCCTAGGAGAGAGAGAAGGATTGTGGGAGTAAAGGATCAGCAATGTAGTGATTAGAACATGTCTATGGTCACAATTTAGGGTTTAGAAAAATCTGGGCAGGGATGTGAGGGCTTTAATAGAGAGGGCACTCCATTCTTCTGTCTGGCTGGATACACTTCATTCTCTTAAGCCTGAATCATCTTTCCACTTGCCATCTCTTTTGAAAGACCTTTTGGATCTCTCTTTGCAGTCTAAGTAATATTTGTATTTTTGTCTGTTTCTCATCATTTGTGTGTGTGTGTGTGTGTGCGCACACACACATGCTGGTCCTCTTTTGCTTAAGTCTAGCACTCTGCCATTTAAGCCACCCCTCCACTTCTGGCTTTTTTTAGCGGTCAACTGGAAATAAGAGTTTTACAGATTTTCCTGTCCAGGCTGACTCTGAAACCTGTTCCTCCAATCTCAGCCTACTGAGTAGTTAGTATTACAGGCTGGTCCCTTCTTACTGGTCTATGGATTTGGTGACAGCACTGCCCAGTTTTGATCACCATTGTACTGGAAAGGCAGTGCAATGCCAGTACTATTTTCAGAATCAATCAATGAAAATAAGAACTTTAGCTGGTTTGGAGGTGACAAGCTAGATCCTCAAAAAAAGACCAGCCTGTCAGGAAGTCTTCCTGTGAACTCAGGCCCTAAGGCCCTGTTAATTTTTCTTGCTTGTTTTAATTCAGGCCCTGGCACTTGCCAGGCAGGCCTTTTATCACTTGAACTACACACCCAATCCTCATACTTTTTTTCCTTTTTTTTTTTTTTTTTGATCAGTCGTGGGGCTTGAACCCAGAGCCTGGGCGTTGTCCCTGAGCTCTGTTGCTCAATCTACCACTTTGAGCCACAGCAACACTTCTGATTCCGGTTTTCTGGTGGTTAACTGAAGAAAATAGTCTCACTGACTTTACTGCCCAGACTGCTTTGAACCATGATCCTCAGGCCTCAGCCTCCTGAGTAACCAGGAGCCACCTGAGCCACCAGTGCCCGGCTCTACTCCAATTCTTGCCTGGCAGTTCCTACTTATGGGAAGCTCGAAGCAAGGTGGAAAGAAGAGGGCCAAAACCCACTCAGCACACACAAATCCCCAAACTGCAACTGAGGCTCCGCCCCTGAGCCCTAGACTCCGCCTTCCTCTCGCCCGCAGTCTGGATTCGCGCCAGGCGGCGCCGCCCAGGAAGTCGCATGCGCAGTGCACACTCCAGAGCTCTTTTGCCCTTCTCCCAATGGCGGGCGACCGTCCCCTTCCCGGCAGCCTCCCTCGGGGTAGGGAGCGCGTCATTTCCGGTGGGGAAGGCCCGCGGCCGCCGCCGCCATTTCAGGCGCTTCTGTGAGGCTG